TGCGCGGCTCGGCTCAGCTGGGCGGCGCGGCTCGGCTGCGCGCTTGTCGGGCAGGTGCGCAGGCAGCGCGGGTAGGGGAGGTGCTCACTAGGGGTGGGTAGGGCAGATGCCACCGGTGGCGGGTAGGGCAGGGCAGGACCGCGACGGCAGATGTAGGCAGGGCCGCGACGGCTTCTGCAGGCAGGGCCGCAAGGGCGGCAGGGTAGGGCCGCAAAGGCGGCAACGCAGAGCCGCGACAGCGGCTGCAGGAAGGGCCGTGACAGCGGCTGCAGGGCAGGGCCGCGACTGCGGCAGGGAAGGGCCGCGACGGCGGCTGCAGGAAGGGCCGCGACAGCGGCTGCAGGGAAGAGCCGCGACGGCCGCAAGGCAGGGCCGCAACGACGGCTGCAGGAAGGGCCGCGACGACGGCAAGGCAGGGCCGCGAAGGCGGCAGGCAGGGCCGCGACGGTAGGGCAGGCGCAAGGGCGCAGGTGAGGTAGGCGCGAGGCGCGCGACAGGGCAGGCAGGCACGGGAGCGCGCTTCGGGCAGGTAAAAAAAAAAAAATCGTGGTGGGCCCTAAAAAAAAAAAACGGTCCCACTAGGGAACCTGCTATATACCATGTGAGAATAGTACGAGTGAATGAAATTACTAGGAAGCAGGTGGGTACAAGTAGTGAACCTAAAAGTAATGTACCCCATATTGTCTACCCCACTACAGCCTACACAGACTATAGCATATGAGTTTGACATCACACTGTGCAGTAGGACCCAAAAGGCCAGCGCCGCACGCTGCGAGTAATTTGCCTGTAGCATTTCAAGCCGCCCCATAGCGCCGTCAATATCACCATCTCCCATGGTAACCGGATACTGCAGGGTCACAAAGAACTCCCACAGATTCGTGACGCGAGCGTTCATATGAAACCGTAGTACCCACTCCCGGAAGTTCGAGCCATCAAACGGAGTAGTGGTAAACGCTTTGTCCACCGTTGCTCCCACCAAATTGCGTGACAGCCGTTCCTTGTCTTCTTCCGTGTATTCACGTGGAGCAGGGTCGAAGAGAGTAGGCACGGTTGACGGTCGAGGTAGCTGTACCGTGCGCTGCATGTCTCCATTCTGTCCACCAAGTTGACGTTCCAGCACTTCCACTTGATCGCGTCGCATGACACCGCTTGACTGCATTCCGTATCCCATCCGCCCCATGCTGTCCACATAGTGTGCGCCAATCGGTGGACATGGTGCACGCGGAGGTACGACGTTGCCTCCATGAAGGTGAGACCTGGGCATGGGAAGAACTCCAATGCGATGGAAGTTAGTTGCAAGTCGTCGTAGTGGGGGAGCACCAATACTGTAGGAGGCGAATCCCACACCTTCCGCGCCCACTTCACCATTTCCATCACTCTGCTGCCCAATCTGTCCACTTCTCATTCCGCCATGCTCCATTGCATGCACTGCACTCCCATACTCATCATTCCTCCCCCGTGCTTCCCTTTGCATGGATCGAGGTGCGGGATTGGAGCTCCCCTCTCCTTGGACGGATGCATCCCCCCCTTGGAATGACTCTCCTCCTTGAGGTATGCCCATTTCCTCATCACCATCAATTCCTACATGTACATTTGATCATTGAAAAGTAGAATGATAACACAATGATGACTCAATGATGATGAATTAGTGACACAGCAGGGTATATATGCATCCAACTATCCCTCTAGAATGACCCCATTCACACCAATAATGGTGTACCAATAATTGTACCCTTTACCCTCCAATAATGCTGGGCTCCAATAATTGTGGCCCTACAATAATTGTGACAATTATTGTAGGACCTGGAAGCTTATAAAGAGGACTACACTAAAACCGAAGAGCTTACTGGTATACAGTATTCGTTATACTGTATTCGGATTTCCAACAAGAAACACGGATGGTACACAGAAGACAAGCTGATGAAAGAACCCACTCAGTAGAGCATTATCTTTAAATTATTTCTCTTTAGAATTCTCAAGGGTTCTGTGAGTGATCAGCTCAGCTCCCACAACAAGCCGTGAACAGCCTCCCCAGCGCGTGGCAGCAAAACATGTGGTTGCTGCAGCTGTTATTCTCCATATAATACCCCTTCCTATCCTATGTGTGTGTGAGTTTTGTAGGTTGATCTTCAAGCCCTTATATATATAGTGTAAAGATGATGTTTCTATGCTCTTATATGAGCAAATGGTTTTGCGCGAGACGCGGCGCCTTGAACAAGCTTCTCCAGAGACTTGGTATTCGTCAAATAGCGTGGTTTGGAACCATTCTGCACGGTTTGACAAGGTTCCGTGGGTTCGTTTACTCTGTCCAGCAAACTAATCCCTTTTCGCACAGCGTTATTTGCGGCAGCAAATGCGACTTGCGCCCAACAAACCAAAACTCCTGAGATTTTCAGGATGCATCCATGTGTTCCGCCAGAGCCACATGGCGAAGGGGATACAGGTTTCAGGAGATATGAGATGAGAAACAAAGCAGCACCAAGTAGTACTTGCCTGTAGAGCACGCCAAGAAAATAGCTCAGACTGAGAGGCCCGCGAATGTTGATGGTTCCAGGCAGTACACATGCGCGAGTCCCGGGCCTGCGAGTGTCGATAGCATATGACACGGTTCGAGTTTCAAAGCCCTTTCATTGTCTTTTGACAGCCTACGCGCCTAATGTTCGACGATGAATCTCTACCTGGCGCTCCCCATCCCCAGGTAGTACTAGCGCTTGCCACGGCGTACCGCTGCGACCACAATTTTTGGTTCAGCATTGGTGCAGCTGATTTTGGTACCGAGTAGCCCTATAAAGCACCTGGGGTCACCTTATCTCCCATTCGTTTCAGTCCGTTCCAGCCTCTCCATTCTCTGCTGTAAGCCCGTCACGGTCCCGTCACGGTGGTCCTCGGCATCACACGCAACTGCCACTAGATCCACTTCCCGACCATGGAACACACGTCGCTGCGCCCATCGTTGGTCCTCGCTGGTGAGTTTCTGAGTCGCGATTTAACCGCCGCCGTACGAACGTTCGTCCTCGCTACGTGGTATCAGATACTGACGCCTCACCGCCTGTCGCTGGTCACTCTGGCCGCTCTCATCCTTCTCGCTCGTGATTTACAACTGGGTCGAGAATTGATTAGGATGAACCGTTTGGATTTCTCGTTGAAGGAATCATCGTTTTGAGATTCCTCACTATCCATCTGAGGCATAAATATAAGGTTCCGACTGGTTCACGTCAGCTCTGACCACTGAAAGCACCATGTCTTTCCTTGCCACAACTTCCCTTCCGTGCAGTGCTGCTCTCGCTCGCCTGCAGCGCCAACGCCGGCCGACATCTTCTCTCAGATGAAGGAATTACATTACGCTGTACGACGACGCTCTGAGTCATTACTGATGAATTTACTTTTGAGGATTCTCAAAAGTAAAGCTAACGCCGATCGCCATCTTCTCGCAGATGAAGTATCGTATACATCACGCTGTACGACGACGCTCTGAGTCATTAGTACTGATGCATCCAGCCTGCGCGTTCTTGTTGCCCACGTTCCTTGTTTCACACGCTCTGTCGTTGTACACGCTCTATCGTTGCACGAGCTCTCGTGGATGATTCTATTTCATGCCTTCTTCGCGTATATTTTCCTAATTTCCTCGTCGATTTTTAGCCTATTCTCCCTCTACCCTCTTATCTCTCTCCGCGTTGCGCAGACCAAGTCAACGCGACTCTTGCGCAAACGGGCGGCATGGCTGGCTCGTGCACCCTGGATGCTAACGTGTAAGCAACAAATCGTTTCTCTTCTCATACTTTCTAGTTGTCCCCGCGTTCACGTTATCTCGATGAATAGTCATCCTACCTCGTTGGCACCTCGCTCACGTTGTCACGCTGAACGTGCATAAGGGAGCCTCTCCGGCTGGAGGCGAAGCTTTATTTGTAGCAGCCGCGCAACTTACTTCTCGCATGTGCTCGCATCCGCCTGTCTTCCCCAACCCCCTCCCCGCTCCCCTGTTCCCCCTCTCCCTTGCAGCACGGCTACTACCCAAACCACATCTTTCGTCTTCAGCATTACGGGCGTAACAGGAACAAACCCGACTTTCTCAGCGCCTGCTTACTACTTGCGTAGCACGAACTCAGTTATAGCGGGGTTTAGATTGTGCAAATTTGTGGCGGTAACAAGCGGGTATTGGAAGTGCACCTTCCACGATGAAATAATACTCCCTTCAGATATGCCTTACGAGCCACAGTCACAACTCGGGGCTTTGAACAACGCTGGAATATTCACGGCGGAAGCTTCTGGCATCTATGTCGCGGTTATAGTTAACAACGTGGCGGTAAGGGGGTCGATCCAGAGGTCTAGCATGACACCCGTATGACAAGTGGCATTTCTCTGGCATCCGCGGCATGAGATACCCTGGATAGATCGTCCGTTAGGGGCTCAGTGGTAGAGAAATATATTCAGAGTGTTTGTGGAACAACCTTAGATGTTGCTGTGATGTAGAGCAACCAAACCAGGCCCTGTGACGTTACTGTACCAGGCCGCTTCACCTCGCCTGCCCTCAACTTACCCTGCCTCATTCCTGTCTACCTTACTGTTACCCTGCCTCTTTTCCACACATGTCTCTGTATTAGAGCTTTACTTTACATGCCTTGTGCTTTGTGTGCAAGAGACACAATTTGATCATCAAGCAGAAGACAGGCTGCTCATGGACTAACCTCCACATGCCTTGAGGCTTGACTAAGAAACACTTGGCACGACAGAACAAAAGGCACTCCCACTCTGTGAACCGTTATTCAAGAACGCTTGCGAACGGTTATGCAAGTGATCAGCGTATACAACACGACTGTCAACTTCCCCTATGTGCTGCAGCAAAACATGTGCTTGCTGTAGCAGCTGTTACGGTATACTCCAAAAAAAGCCACTTCCTAACTCGTGCCCATGCATCCACTCTCTCCCTTTCACCCCTCACGCTCCTCACTTCACTCCCCCTCACCACTATCACCATTCTCGCCTCAGCAGCACCCCAGAAGTCACCTCCCTCGCCTCAGCACCACCCCCTGCCTTTCCCTCTCCTCCTTCCTCTGCTGAAATGCCGCCACCTGCTTCTCTAACTGAAGCACCCACACGTTGAGGGAGGGCGCGCGGGGGAGGATGGGAGGAAGGGAAGGGCGCGAAAGGGGGAAGGAGTAGGGGTCAGAAATGGCGACAGGGTTGCCTCTCCTCCTTCCTCTGCTGAAATGCCGCCATCTGCTCCTCCAACTGAAACAACCACACGTGGAGGCACGAAACAGGAGAGGAGGGGAGGAGGGAAGGGGGAGAGGCGGGGGGAGGGCAGGGAGAGGAGAGGGAAAGAGGAGTAGGGGGAGAGGAGCCACCTCAGTGTTGGCTGTTGGCAGCAGCTTTACCTGAGCTTTTGGTTGACTGCACCATGACACACAGCTCCCACCTCAGAATTCTGGCTGACTGCGCTAGACACAAGGGACTCACAATACCATCTCACAAGCGGACTCGCCACAGCTAACTGCACTCGCCACAGCTACCTGCACTCGCCACAGCTTACTGCACTCGCCACAGCTTACTGCACTCGCCACAGCTTACTGCACTCGCCACAGCTTACTGCACTCGCCACAGCTTACTGCACTCGCCACAGCTTACTGCACTCGCCACAGCTTACTGCACTCGCCACAGCTTACTGCACTCGCCACAGCTTACTGCACTCGCCACAGCTCACTGCACTCGCCACAGCTCACTGCACTCGCCACAGCTCACTGCACTCGCCACAGCTCACTGCACTCGCCACAGCTCACTGCACTCGCCACAGCTCACTGCCCTTTCCTATCGACTGCGTGATGACAAAAGGGACTAGACATAAGTCTCAGCATGCTGACTCACCACAAACAGCACTCACCTGGGCGTTCAAGTCGCGCCTCACATCTCTTCTCGCCGCAATCTGCAGCATCAGCTCCGCTACAAAACAAGACAAATCTGGGTGTTGCGGTGGTGGTATCATTATCCACCAGCGTCGCCACTTTGCTGCCATGGCGTTGTTTGGAGATATTCCAGAAAAAACACATGCAACAAGAAAGCTGCTCCAAGCCACACCACACCACACTACACCACACCACACCACACTCACCTGGGCATAGCGCTTGCGGTCGGTGATAACATTATCCACCAGCGTGGCCACCTTGCACCTCATCTCCGCTATCTGCTGCACCGCCTGGGCATTGCGGTTGCTTTGAGACCTCTCAGAAGCAGCTCACCTGCGCGTTGCGCTTGCGGTAGGTGATCACGTTATCCACCAGTGTGGCGACCTTGCACTTCATCTCCGCTATCTGCTGCATCAGCTCGCGCTCCCTCTCTGATGGCAGCTCCACCTGCGTGCACGCATGCATGCCATTGGAACAAGGCACGATAAGGGCGAGAGTCAGAAAGCACACTTGCTTCAACGACATGGTTCAGGCACACTGCATCAGCTCGCGCTCCCTCTCTGATGGAAGATCCACCTGCGTGCATGCATGCATGCCATTGGAACAAGGCGCGACCAGGGTGGCAATAAGGAAGGTGACAGTGATGCAATTATTGTTCAGACACAATGTGCTGCATCAGCTCGCACTCCCTCTCTGATGGCAGCTCCACCTGCATGCATGCATGCCATCAGAACACCAACGATCACGGTGACGATAACGAAGGTGGAGATGACAACAATAACGGAGCTCGCTGAAGCGAGTGAAGCGGAAGAGCATGTGGGCGTACCTTGATGCCTCCCAGCAGCGCTGCTTATTTTTGGGATTCGCTTTGAGAATCCTTAAAAGTGACTCTTCAATCAAAGAGCATGTGGCTTACCTTGATGCCTCCCAGCAGCGCTGCTGACTGCTCTGGATTCTTAATCTCTGAGAGAGGGAAAAAGGAAAGGATGGAGATAACAGAGGGAACACAGCAGGGGATGAAAGGCTTTTGAGGCACCTGGATGGAATGTCTTGCGTTTACCCAAACAAAGGGAGCATCAGCAGGGGAAAGAAGGGATGTTACACATGGGCACGGCAGATGTGAGAGGGCAGCGAGACATGGGCACGGCAGATGTGAGAGGGCAGCGAGACATGGGCACGGCAGATGTGAGAGGGCAGCGAGACATGGGCACGGCAGATGTGAGAGGGCAGCGAGACATGGCCTGACTACAAGCAGTGAGAGGCATAATACGAGCGAGTGTTGTCTAAATTGAGGCTCCTGAAAAAGGCCAGCAGGAGCAGGAGGAACGGAAAGCAGTGAAGGGCATAGAAGTGAGCATGCCAAACATGCTGACATGGATCTCACCTGGATGTGCGTCTGAGAGCTCTTTCATGAGTGTGAAGAGCACCTCCTGTGGTTCAACAGTGCGTGGCAACACATGACATAGCAAACACAAGCCACACGCAAACAAAAAGGCTCCTGACATGGCCCTCACCTGGATGTGCGTCTGAGAGCTCTTTGATGAGTGTGAAGAGCACCTCCTGTGGTTCAACAGTGCATGGCAACACATGGCAATGCAGGGCGAGACATGGGAATGCGTGGAAACACATGGCAACACAAGACACACGCGAACATAACGGCTCTTAACAATTCTAAACAATAACCCGCACAAACCTCCAGTGCATCAGCAACACACATGGCACATACAAACAAAGTGACTTTTGAGTCGACTCAAAAGTCACCTCTTTTGAGTCGACTAAAACGTGAGGAAACGAGAGAGACACGCACGAGAACAGAATAGTTGCAGAGAGGAGAGGTAATGAGAGGCTTAAGTAGGAGGTATCATTTCATGTATCGGACACAGCGGCAGCAGAGGGGGCTGAGAGGCTCGTTGCAGCAGAGAGAGCCGTGATGGCAGGTGTGTCATAGCACAAAGCACATAGCAGAGCAGAGCAGAGCACAGCGCAGACGAGCAGAGCAGAGAACACCACAGCGCATAAAAGCAGAGCTGAGCACAGCGCAGAAGAGAAGAGCAGAGTGTTCTTCTCTTCTCAGGCAGAGTGTAGTGTACCTGCTGCTCCGAAGCATGCCTGAGTAACGCTCTCAAGTGGGGAACCACAACAAGAGCATCGGAGACAGCGGAGGCAGAGGAGGCAGAGGAGCGAGCAGGCGCAGAGAGGATGGTGGAGGGCAGCGAGTGCACCGTTGGCAGGGATGCCCGACTGGATGGCTGCTGGGAGGGATGGATTGAGATGCATGAACAGTGGAGAGAGAGAGAGGAGAGAGAGAGAGAGAGAGAGAGAGAGAGAGAGAGAGAGAGAGAGAGAGAGAGAGAGAGAGAGAGAGAGAGAGAGAGAGTTGTTTAGGCGCCCCAAGAAGCACGGATAGAGAGGAGGATTGTGGAGGGCAGGGAGTTACTAGGGCAGGGCGTCACTAGGGCAGGGCGTACCTGGTTTGATATGCTTCGAAGCATGAATGAGAGGGAGGGCATTGAGGAGGGCGGCAGCAGGGAGCGAGCAAGGGAGGCGGAGGAGAAGGAGGAGGAGGCGAGGACGACACCCTTCACTGGTCTGAGGGACGCCACAGACGGACTCTATTGGGGGAGAAGGCGGGGAGAGACAGGGAAAAGGGGGAATGGATGGTGGAGGAGGGGAAGAGGAGCGTGGGGGGAAGGGGGAGGGAGGAGGGAAAGAGTGCGGTGGGATGGAGTGTCGGTGAAACTCCTTGTTTAAAAAATTGGCGGAAAACCATCAAGGGGGTTGAGGGAGGGAGGGAGAGAAGGGGGGGAGGAGGAAGAGGTGGTGTAAAGGAAAAGGGTCTACTTATGACTCAGTAACATGCTTATGGCCATGAGTTGGAAGAAAGGAAGGGGGTGGAGAAGAAAAGAGGTAGACGATGGAATGGAAAGGGGTGTGGGAGGAGGAGGAGGAGGAGGAAGGCAAAGCAACCAGTGGCGGTGATTGCACGAGGTTCTAGGGCTGCCACGAGTGAAAGAATTGAGTCTGTTTTTAAGTCGACTCAAAAACAGAATGCACCAAGTTCCAGAGCTGCCACGCGTGGAAAATTTGATGACGGCACACACCAATGTGAGCAGTGAAAAGTGCGCAATGGGGAGTGCAGAGTTCTGGGCATGGCAAGCATGGGGGTCACAACTGACACGCATGGCAAGCATGGGGGTCACAACTGACACGCATGGCAAGCATGGGGGTCACAACTGACACGCATGGCAAGCATGGGGGTCACAACTGACACGCATGGCAAGCATGGGGGTCACAACTGACACGCATGGCAAGCATGGGGGTCACAACTGACACGCATGGCAAGCATGGGGGTCACAACTGACACGCATGGCAAGCATGGGGGTCACAACTGACACGCATGGCAAGCATGGGGGTCACAACTGACACGCATGGCAAGCATGGGGGTCACAACTGACACGCATGGCAAGCATGGGGGTCACAACTGACACGCATGGCAAGCATGGGGGTCACAACTGACACGCATGGCAAGCATGGGGGTCACAACTGACACGCATGGCAAGCATGGGGGTCACAACTGACACGCATGGCAAGCATGGGGGTCACAATCAACGCGCATGGCAAGGATATGGGCCACAATTGACGCGCATGGCATGTGGGCCACAATTGATGCGCATGGCATGTGGGCAACAGTATGGCTGTAGGTGTTTGGGTTAGAAGCCTAGAGGCACGCAAGCAACAACGGGCGCAACACACCGGTGGCTGGGTGCGAGATGAGGAGGAGAACGAGCGCCGATCCAGCAACTGCTGCTGCTGCTGCTGCAACAGAAGCTGCGTGTGTTGCTGCTGGCTTTGCAGCTGCCTTTGTAGCAGGTTTTGCTGCTGCTGCTGCTGCTGTGCGTTGAGTTGTCTCCTCGTGCGAGGAGTCACCAGCAACCCCGAACCTGCTCCCCCACCTGCTGCTGCTGCTGCTGGTGTTGTGGGAGTGGAATGGGCTGAAGTGGGAGAGGAGGAGACCTGATGGAAAAAGGGGTCAGGTGGCAGGGAGAAAACGGGGAAAGAAAGAGAGAGCGTTTTTGAGGCGCCTCAAAGGAGACCTGATGGAAAAAGGGGTCGGGTGGCAGGGAGAAAACGGGGAAAGAAAGAGAGAGCGTTTTTAAGGCGCCTCAAAGGAGACCTGATGGAAAGAGGCAGCAGTAGGCAGTCGACAACAATGCCAGCTTGTTTATGCACAACTACCATCAACAACCACAATCACCCCTTGCTTTGCTCTTCACCTGAACTGTCGTCTCATTCCAACATTCACCTGCACCGAAGTCCGCCGAGTGCCCTGCTGCCCCAGCTGCACCTTCAACAATCCACCCGCCCCTGCTGCTGCTACAGCCGCTGCTGTACCAGCTCCCGCTGCCCCTGCCCCTGCCCCTGCTGCCCCTGCTGCTGTCCCTGGCACAGACGCAATCGGACTTGTTTTAGAAGGAGTGAGAGGAGCGACGGAGACGAAGAAGGAGGAGGAGGACGAGGAGTGGAGGGAGGGGAGGGGGCCAGAGGAGGAGGACGATGTGGAGGAGGTGCGAGGGGAGGGAGCTGCTGCAGCGGAGATGAGGGAGGAGGAGGTTGAGGAGTGGAGGGAGGGGAGGGGGCCGGAGGTAGAGGATGATGTAGAGGAGGTTCGAGGGGAGGGTGCTGCAGCAGCAGACAGCGGCCCGCTTGCAGACGCGGTCGATTCCTGTGCAGGGAGAGAATGGCAGACAGGAAAACACGAAAGGAGGAGAGAGGCGGAATGACAAGACGAAGGCTTGAAAGAGGGGAGGATATGGAAGGAGGAAGGACGGGAAGGCGGGAGGTGGGGCCACATCGGACGCATGAATGTGAGAGCAAAGATAGGAGGAAGAGGTTTGGGGACGGATGTAAAGAAGGTAAAGAAAGATGGAGCATGAAACCACAAAAATTGTAAACCACAAACAAGGCAACACATCACTGTTTCGCCTCTTCCTTCTTTCGCCTCTTCCTTCTTTCCGTCACCCACCTTTCTGAAACAAGGGAGGTGGGAGGACCCAGCAGCAGCAGCAGGCGCCCCATGGGAGGGCGTGGGAGGGCGGTTGGGCGGCACTATGCCCCCTCCAGCAGCAGGTTGTTGGCCTGGCTGGCGGGGCATGAGTGAGCTGCGCAGCACAATGGGCGCCATGCCCATGCCCACGCTCTCCTCCTCGTCGTCCGAGTCGTCTGTCGTCACTGAGAACCGCCCCTTCTGCTGCACGCCTGCTCGCCCCGCCACTGTTGCTCCACCTCCTCCTCCCCCTCCTCCCCCTCCTCCTCCCCCTCCCCCTCCCCCTCCTCCTCCCCCTCCTCCTCCTCCTCCTCCTCCCCCTCCTACCCTCTCCTCCTTCCCCTTCTCCTCCCGCCCTCTCAACTCCCTGGACCCGCCTCCCTCCTTGCTCCGCTCCTCCCTCCTCTTCTCCTCTCTCGCCCTCTCCTTCCCTCGCTCTCCCCTCACTCTCTCCTCTCTCGCTCGCTCCTCTCTCCCCCTCTCCTCCTTCCCCTTCTCCTCTCTCCCCCTCTCCACCTTCCCCCTTTCATCTCTCCTCCGCTCCCTCTCCTCCTCTCTCATCCGCTCCACCCCCCACCTCTCCTCCCTCCCGCCCTCCTCTCTCCCTCGCCCCTCCCGCACCTCAGTAAACCTACCTGTGGTTCCACCTGGGCCTCTATGAACAGTAAAGCCCCCGCCCCCTGTGGACTCATGTGGGGAGGGCGTACCTGGTGCAGGCTGTATCTGGCCGGAATAGGTCTTCACAGGAGGAGCGCCTCTGCGTGAAAGGGAAGCAGCAGATGAGCCTGCACCAGATGCACCTCCTGTGTTTACGGACAAGGTAGCAGGCGCAGCAACAGAACCACCCGTACGGGCAGCTGGGGCAGAACCGGAATCAGCACCAGCAACGGCACCAGCAGTGGCGGCGGCGGCGGCGGCGGCAGCAGTAGGGGGGTAGTCGGCAGGAAGAGAAGCAGCAGAGGTGGCGGGAGCAGCAGCAGTGGCCGGGAGGGAGGAGGTCGCAGAGGGGTGTCCATAGGCAGTAGCAGGGAGAGGAGACGCGTCCTCGAAATCCGATGGGTCGTCTGCAGTCTCGAATGTGAAGCGCGATGGCAGCTTCCCCGCCCGAGATGCCTTGGCGCCTGCATGCCTGCTCGCTCAGGGGAACACAGGGGGGCACGGGCACCGGGGGGCACAGAGGGGGCACAGGGGGGCAAATGCGGGGAAAGGCGGGCGCTGAGGGGGACAGGGGCACAGGGGGCGCAGAGGGGGCACAAGGGGGCGCAGGGAGGTGCAGCGGGGCACAGGGGGACGGCGGATGACAGCGGAAAGGGGCGCATTGGGGAAGTGAGCGAATAGGGGAGTGGGTAGTTGGGGGTGGGGAGGGGGGAGATAGGGAGGGGTAAAGGAGGGGGATGGGGAAGGGAGGGGGAGGGGAGGGGGGGCGGAGGAGAAGAGGAATAGGAAGAGAGGAGGGAAGTGGGAAGAGTGAATAAGAAAGGGCACAAAGCATGGAGGCATGGACACACACACGACCATGTCCACGCAACAATCGGTAACCATAACATCACATTTCCCAGCTCTGCTCAGCGAACGGAATACCCTATACCGCACACAACCACCACGTACCGCTCTGCATCGTCCTTCACGAAGATCCGGTCCACTACAATCACCCCGGCTGCTGCTGCAGCCTTGTCCCCCAACAGCGGCCCACTCTTCGCCTTTCCCCTCACCCCCCCCGCCTGTCCCTCCGCCCCCAGGGGAACACCCGCCTTCCCGTCCCCCTTCGCCCCAACCCCCGCTTCCCTCTCTCCCCGTCCTGTCACAACAGCTGCAAATGCCCCTTCTGCTCCTCCTCCTGCTCCTGCTACTGTTGCTGCTACTGCCCCTGTTGCTGGTCCGCGCGACAACCCAGAAACGCCAGCGACACCAGCACCAGGACCAGCAGCAGGAGCCCCAGCAGCCCCTTTGTCAGGCAAAGGCCCAGAAGACCAAGCTCTCCCTGCAACATGTGCCGAATCCCCCCCTGCTGTCTCTGCAACACAAGAGACAGCCCTGCCAACAGCCGGATATGCACCGCCACTGGCACCACCAGTTGCTGCAGCAGCAGCGACCTCTTTTTCCACTCCCCCATCAGCCTCAGCCACTGCTGCTGCGCCCGCTGCCCTTACCCCTAGCCCTTTGCTCTCTGCCCGTTGCCCCTTGCGCCAATCGTCCCCCGGACCCTCGTCCAGGGCAGGCAGAGGCCCGGACAGAAACTGCCTGGCGCGAGGCTCCTGGGAGGTAGCACCAGCGCGGGTGCCACCTGCACTAGATGAACCCGTAACATTGCTGATGGTGCCAGAACCACCACCGCTGCTGCTGCTGCTGCTGCTGCTGCTAGCGGGCCCAGCAGCAGCAGCAGCAGCAGCAGTCACAGAAGCAGCAGCTGCTGAAGTCGCAGGAGCAGAAGCAGCGACAGCGGCAACTGAGTCAGCAGCAGTAGCAGCAGCGGTGGCGGACGGAGTAGCAGCAGGAGAAGGCAGAGGGCCACTGACGCTGTCCAACACTCGCCGCCGATCCAACGGCCCTGATCCCTGCTTGGCCAAGCCTCGGCTCGGCGCTGCTCCAGCTGCTCCAGCTGCTTCTACAGGGCCTGCTGCTGCGGCGGCGGCTGCAGGAGCGCCTGCGGCTGCCCTGCCGGCGGCTGACGAGGCGGAGGACGGCGGCCACGGGGAGACGTCAATGTCGCTGTCGGACTGATCGCCTTCTATCACCTGGAACCTTCCTCTGCGAGGGGAGCATGGAGAGGGCAGTGGACAGGTGGGGGTAGGACCGGGAATTTTAATGTGTGTGGGTTGGCTTATAAAAGGCACAAAAACAGGTGCGGGTAAGACCGGGTACGCTAGTACTGTGTTAAGGAGGCACCGCGCTGGTTAAGAAAAAAGTGTTTGCAGCTTATTACGTGCTGGGAGATTTAGGCGGTTAGTCTGATATCTACAGGAAATTCTTACCGCGTAATTGGAGCTTTGGGCGGCATGATGTCACGGAGGGATAGCAGCAGAAAACCTTTCGTCCTCGTAACGACTTATGCGGATTTTTTATTATTATTTTTCGAACGACCTCTTGCCTATTCGCGATAAGTAAACTATGTCGATGCAGCTGTTTAATACATAATAGAACTACGGACGTGCGTCCTTCTTTACTAGAATTGTTCGCGTCGAGGTGGACCTCGAAGCATCGCTTGTGCTTCGAAGCGAGCGGCTATTCCGAGCCGCTATAGATAAGCGGCGTTTATGTCAACAAAGAATTTGCGCATTAAAATTAAATAACGGAGAATTGTACGCGAAGATTAAGGAGCCCTTCTCCCATTTGCGGGCCAACATAATTAACAAGCAGTCGTCTCTTTTGCGAGACAATTTCCCGCAATGTGCGGTAGAAGCTGGGAGCGGGACCAACGCACTTTCACTCCTAGCCTCAGCAGCTTGGCAACGTCGGATCCTGAGGAACTTGGAAACTTGGAGCAATACCGAGGTTGATTGTGCGATTGCAACAAAACCCCTGAACTGCAGAAGACTACATTGCACAACTTGCCTAGCAGCTTTGGTTATCCACAAACTTTGGATTCTTAATAACACCATCTATATACACACAATATGGTATATCTGACCCGCAGGTACAAATTATCATAATTGCACTAGCCTCTAACTTATGCCAATGAGGCATGTCCATAGGTTCTACTGTTGAGGCCGTGAAGCGATGAGGGGGCGGGGGGGGGGGGGGGGGGGGGGGGTTGATCGCGATTCACTATTGCTGAAGTACTACCCAGATTGGTCCAGGTGCAACTTTGTGTCAAATGTTGTAGCCTGTAGTGAGGTTTGTCTTAGGGGGTACAAATGTTAGGGTTTGCTATATGTACCCCAACCCTCATCAATAACACAACACTTTCATTCTTGACATGGTATGGTATCACCTAGGTTAGGATCATGTGGGATCCCACTCCTCCCGTCATCGTTCGTTCCGCCAGAGCCTATCTCGCTCTCTCGTACTAGTCGTACCCGTCTTGCCCGAGCCTAGTGCCGGCCCGATCCAGTCTCGCTCGTTCGTTAGCGCCCGCTCCGCCGACCCGCTTTCCGCGTAGCGTAGCGCCTTCCCCCCCCCCCCCTGCCCGTCGCGTCGCGCTCTCCCCGGCTTCCCGTCCCGTCACGCCCTCCCCCGCTGCTCATTGCGACGTGCCCTCCCACCCTGACCGTCGCGTTGCGTCCTCTCCTCGCTGCCCTAAACGCCCGCTCGCGCGCCGCGCCTGTCGCCGCGGCGCCCCTTATTTCCGTCGCCGCGGCGCCCCGCATTTCGTTGCCGTGGCGCCCCGCATTCCGTCGTCGCGGCGCCCCGCATTTCGTCGCCGCGGCGCCCCGCATTTCGTCGTCGCGCCTGCCCGTACCGCCCGCCGCCGCGTCTGCTCGTTAGGCCCGACCGCGGGCCCGCTCGTCCCGTCGTCGCGCCTGCTAGTTAGGCCCGCCGCGGGCCCTCCCTTACAGCCGCAGCAGGCCCTCCCTTACAGCCGCCGCGCCTGCCCGTACCGCCCGCCGCCGCGCTTGCTCGTTAGGCACGCCGCGGGTCCTCCCTTACAGCCGCCGTGGGCCATCCCTTACAGCCGCCGCGCCTGCCAGTTCAGCCAGCCGCCGCGCCTCCTCGATAGGTCCGCTGCAGGCCCGCTCGTTAGGCCCTTCCTTTGCACCGATGCGCCTACCCGTTCAGTCCGCCGCGGGACCGCCCCTAGCCCCGTTGCGCCCGCGTTTTGCGCCCGTCACGGACTTGCCCTAGCCGCCCACTGTCCCTACCAGTGCCACCCACCGCCGGACTTGTCGCTTCTACTTACAATATGGCGACCCCTAGGGTTCTTCGCTTTGACGCTGACGGTAGACCGCTCGAGTTTCCGGTCTAGCTCCTACGCGCGCGTCGCCTTTTAGAGAGTCAGGTTCAGGCGGGCGAGTCCCTTTGGGCGCACGCTACTGGTGACCTTCCAGCGCCCGACGACCCTACGCCTTTAGGCACCGCTCCTGACGACGCAGCCAGTGACCGCTTCACCCGCCAGCGTGCTGACCTGACGGCGTGGAAGTCGCGTGACGCTGCGGCCTGCATCGCTCTTAGCAACCTCCTCCTTGAGTCTGAGGAGGCCCACTTCACTCAGGTTCGCACTGCTAGTGAGTCCCTGACTGCGATTAAGGCCCGCTACGCTACTCCCACCACTGTCTCTCTTGGCCGACTCTTCCTACCGTTCCTGTTCCCTGACCTCGCCTCGTTTGAGCGCTCTGCTGACTTGATTGCTCACCTCCGCTCGCTTGATTCTAGCTATCGCGCTGCTTGCACTGATGCACAGCTTGCACTGCTTCCTCCCCCCATGGCGATTACTATCTATGTCATCGCCACTAGCCTCCCTGACCACCTTGCCTCAGTCTGTCACACGCTTCTTCTGAAGCACCCTAGTGAACTCACTATCGAGGTCCTTGAGTCTGCGCTCAAGGACGTCGAGAGCAACCTCCGCTCCGGTGCTGTGCCCCCTCCACTGTTCCACGGGTGCACTGTCCCTCAGCTACCCACCTTTACAGCCTCTCTAGCCACTGCTGCTACTGACGTCACCGCAGCTGCTGTTACGACTTCTTCGCGGTCTCGTGGTAGAGGTGGCAAGAGGGGCGGTTAGGTTACAGGTGGCGGCGGCGGTGGAGGCGTTGGCGGCGGAGGTGGCGGGGGTGGCGTGCCGTCTGGTGGCGGAGGGAGCGCAGGGCCTGGAGAGGCGTCTCGTGCAGCGGCCAGTGACTCCCATACTGCAGCTGGTGGAGGCGACACCCGGGCTCGTCAGCCACCTTCTAGTCTGCCGGCCGCGGCGGGTGGAGCAGCGGCGTGGTACCTGGCCCAGCGGTAGCAGTAGCTGCAGCAGCAGCAGCCCCTCCCCTCGCAGCAGCCCTCGCAGCAGCAGCGGCAGCAGCACGTTTCGGGGCCAGGACAGCGCCAGCCCCAGCGAGGTGTTGTTCACCCTTCGTGCACCTATCAGCTTTTGACAGGTGCTCGCCGAGGCCAGCCTAGTGGCCGCGCCCATCCTCCTGGTCAGTGTTTTGCTCAGCTCATTAACAAAGTTCGCTTGGCCTTCGGCGTTGGCGGCCCTGCCCCTGACTGGTTTCCTCTTGTTCAGATGTACGGCTCCGCTCTTTGGGGCATGACAGCTTCTCAGTTGGTTGATCTCTTAGGAACTCCTCATGCTATGTATGTTGTTGTTGACTCTAGTGCTTCTGACTCTGTTTACTTGAATGTTTTTAGCTTAGGTGCTAGCCTTGATGAGTTGCCTGCTGCTAGTGTAGGCACTTGTGTAGACACTAGTCCAGGAGCTACTTCGGAGGACGCTTCGCTGTCTTTCACTTTGGACTCTGGGGCTTCGCACTGCTTCTTCCGGGACCACACGACACTTACTCCGCTTCCGGCGCCGGTCTCTGTCGCTCTGGCTGATCCCACCTCGGGACCAGTCACTGATCGCTACACTACTACTATTCCGTGCCCTGCTGTTCCCTCTGGGTCTCTGACTGGCTTACACGTCCCCTCGTTCTTGCGGAACTTGGTGGGCGTGAGGCCTCTTGTGAGTCAGCACGTGGGTGTGTGGATTGAGCCCTCTGGTGAGACGGCGGTTTGTGTTGACGGAGACACTTACACGCCTCTTGCCACCTTTACAGCTGAGCCGGGCTCTGGTCTCTACACACTTCAGACTGGCTCTGGTGGGCAGCAGCAGCAGCAGCCGCAGCAGCAGCAGCAGCAGCGACTACTGCCCCCGGCCCCTGTTCCTTCCCCCAATCTGGTCCCTGCGTCTCACCAGGTTGCTGCGTCCCCCCAGGTAGCTGTGTCTGGTCAGGTTCCCGTGTCTGGTCCAGCTTGTCCGCGGAGGTGTCGCGAACAAGAGCCAAGCAACCCCAGACACGAAACTGCGACGCAACACCAGGGGACCCGGTCCAAAGACTAGTCGGTGAAACCTCTGGCCGAGAGACACGTGGCCAGAGGTTCAGCTGGTGAGCGGCGTACCTAACCGCGTAGGGCCACAGAAAATGGGGGGCATGGGCGTGAGTCAAGGAGGTGCGGGCGATCTCCATGACCAAGCCTATGCAGCGCTCAGCAACCCCATTCTGCTGTGGGGACTCTGGAAGCGTCCAGGACTGACGAATGCCCTGCTCGCGACAGAATCCAGCGAGAATGCCGGAGCGAAACTCATCCCCATGGTCGGAGTGAAGACAACTGACTCGACGACCACGAGTGCCCTCAGTCGTAAGCAACCACTTGATCAGCGTAGAAGTCACCTCAGACTTCTTCGCAAGGGGGAACACTGTGGTGTAGCGGGAGTGGTCGTCAACGACCACCGGAAAGAAACGCTCACGCTCAGGGCCAAGCCGAGAGGCGGGGCCCCAGACGTCCAAGTGGAGCGTCTCAAAAGGCTCGGTGGCCGGACGAAGGGAGGAGGAGTGAGGGGTGGCGCGCAGCCTACCCTCGACGCAGGGACCGCACGGTGGTGCAAGCGAAGGCGGCAGCGACAGCAAGACACGTGGGAGGCCTAAGACAAGACGCTGATGAGACATAGTGCGCAGACGAGGGAGAGACGGGTGCCCCATCCGGTGGTGCCACAGAACGGTGGGGTGGGCAAGTGACCGGCAGGAGCACGACGCAACAATCTCGCCTCGCGCCGTTCCCTGTGTCTTCCTTAGTTTCCTAGAGGACTCCTCTGACTTCACCTTTTACCACCCTCCCCTTCACCGGTTCTTTGACTCCCGTGACGTCAGTTTCGACGAGTCCGTCCTCTACTACGTCAGGTACCCCTGCCGAGGTCTCCCGGTTCCTCCTCCCCCTCTCTTCCTGACTTCCGCTCCCCCTCCTGTTCCCCCGGTACAGCCTCCCCCCCCTGGTCCAACCCCGTCAGGTGTGTCCCTCGCTACCCCTCCCCCCTCGGTAGCCCCTCAGGTACAGCCTCCTTCCCCGCAGTCCTCCTCGCAGCCTGCGGCAAACCCT